AAAGTTAAGAAAGAATTTTTAATAAAAACTATGTATATTAAATTTATTTATAACAGTTGAATATATTAAAAAACAAGATGACAAAATTTCAAATTAATAATTTTAAATTATTATTTAAAATCAAATCTTTGATTATTTTTTTTTAACTAGACAAATTTTAAACAAATTCCTATTAACATTTATTATAATGATCCTTCTATAACGTACACAAAAGATTTCTTTCATTTCATCCAAAAAAATATAATCTAATTTTGAACGACACTGTACATTTATCCCTATATTCATTTTAGACAAATTCCACCTATTAACATTTATTATTATAACAATCTTTCCATAATATAACACAAAAGATTTCTTTCATTTCATCCAAAAAAATATAATCTAATTTTTAAACTTTTGAACGTTACTGTACATTTATCCCCATGTTCACTTTATATCACGTTCGACATTACCTCTTAATTTAATACATTTTTCACGTATTGAAATTCGCATCACTTTCATCCTAAATCCACCACGCTCCCCGCCCCGTTAACCACAGAAATCAGAACGATCGAGGGTATTCGTCGTAACGTTATCCAACCCAGTAGCCATTAATTTCTCGGCACAGGGCTCGTTACGAATCGCAATTTACACGCGCGCCGGCGTCCGCCCGATGGTGATGCTCGTAAAATTATCCAGGATTTGTAAATCCTTGAAATTACGTTGTTACGTGTTCTTACACGGGACGATCTTCCCTCTCTCTTTCTCTCTCTCTCTCTCTCTCTCTCTCTCTTGCGCGCGTGCAGAGATATTTCACATGCGACGCGTAATGAGTGAGCGAGAGTAAAGCTTAAAGACACCCCTCCTCCCAACACTCACCCCTACTCACCCCCCTCCTATTCCCCTCCCCCCTCCCCCCTCCCTTCCGCAAGCTGGTTGTGTTGGTCGTTCATGGTCGTGTCTTGATTTACGTGAGAGAGGCGTGCCTCTACGGAAGCCGCAATTAGTTTATTAATAATTAGTAAACGAGCCGCTGCCACCATGCGCGCGGTGCGGGACTGCGACGCACGTCGTGCGAAGCGTCTTGGGAAGTGAGAAGGAAGGAGCGCGTGTGACGAACGTTACACGCTGGACGAAAAAGGAGAGAGAGAGAGAGAGAGAGAGAGAGAGAGAGTGGTGTGGTGAGAGACCGTGGAAATTATTTATTTCGCCAGTGATAGGTGTTTGCCTTCCGTTGCACGGCTCGTTAACGTTCGATTTTGAAAATTGTATTATTTGTGCGTCTAATAGGAGTCTCTTTTTCGTTCATTGCTTGTTGAAATCTTCATCGATTGGTCGATGTTTTGTTTATTATTCTATTGTTAATTCTTTTGTCAACTGTGCCTTTTTTTGTTGATCGGTCGACAAAATCGGATGGCGAAAGGTGGATAATGTGAAAAAGATTCTAAAATCTCTTTTATACGATATTTGTATTGTATTGTAACATTGATCGTGTGTGGAATAAAAAGATTTTTGTCCAAAAGTTGAATTGAAATTTCAGGTTTTGAATCGTACATATTATTAACTGGCTTTTTTGTTTCTATAATTGATCGTTATTTGTTTTTCTTTTTTTTTTTTTTTGTTTGCTTAATTATCGTGAGATTATCTAGATCATTTTTTGAATTGAAATTTTTAAAATGTGCAGAGTAAAAGTATATTATTATCATCGAACAATCTTTTATTTTGTATTTTTAAATTACAATAAATTGTTAATCTATTGTAAAACAATAAATACGATATTTCAATTATTTCTTTTTATAAAGTGTTTGTCTTAATAATTGTTTTTCTTTTAACTTCTAATTCTTTAAATTATTATATGAAAATTATGAAACTCACTTATCAATCCTTTTCAATATTCCTTTACAAGTATCAGTAATCCTTTACAAGTATTGAAATCAAAATTATTGATATTAAATCAATCTATAAATTATTCACTGTTTTAATACGCGTTTACATTAAGCAATTTTCGCAATTTGAGCAAATTAATTAACCTCAAGTCGATCAAAATCACCTGTGTAAACTAAATTTCAATTAAATAAAATGAACGTTTACAATTCAATAATTCGATTTACTTAATATAAATCTATCTATCTGAACAATAAAAAAAAAAAGAAATTACTAGAAATCTTATTATCTTTATTGAAAAAAATGAAACAATCATATATTTTGAAATCATAGATAAGAAAAATTATGTACACTTAATTTTTGATATGAAAATCAATGTAACATTAAACTAAAAAACTTAACTCTAGGTGGAATATTAAATTTAAATTAAAATTAAATTAATTATATTGACACAATTTTGAAATAAATGTAGAATTAATACAACAAAGTTAACTAAAGTTAATGCTAAAAGTAGCTCTAAATTGAATGCTAATTTTAAAAATTTTATCGAACATACAATTAATGAAATTAATTATTGAAATGAGTACCAAAATAACATTTAAATCACATTCATTTAAATCACATAAAGAGTTAATGCTAAGACTAACCATAGATGAAATATTAAATTTAAAAATCCGAAATTTTTATTAAATTTTACACAATTTCGAATTGAATTCTGAGAGCTAGGGATACTATGCTGAGAATTAAAGATAATCGTAGGCGGGATCGGGCGCGTGGCCAATGCACTGGAAAAAAATCGCGGGCGCGTGTCGAGCAGGATTGGTTTTTCATTGGAATTTCGCGAGGCCCTTAATGAAGATATTATCCTCGATAACTTTACGAAGGGCTAAATGACTGGATAATATTCGAGCTTGGGGCTGGTTCATCGATCTTGCCTCCCGGGACCGAGGAGGTGAAAGTAATTTGTCGAGTTAGCGTCTTTTTGTCCAGCCTCCAAAGCCACTGGACGTCGCTGAAAGCTGTTCGACGATACGCCATGAAAATTTCCTCGATGATTCTGTTCCGATGGTAACTCTCCTCTCTCCACGGATCGTTGCTCGTCCAATGCAGAAGTCGTCTGTTGTTAATGCTGCTAGTCGATTACTTTCTGTGCTTGTTGAACACGTAAAGGATGGATATATTAAACGTTTTTAATTAGCAATCCTTCCCACATATTGTTGATGAAAGCAATCGAGATAAAAAGAGCGAGAAAAAGAAATTTTAGAATAGAACGTAAAATGAAGATGATACATTGAAATTGAATAATCTTTGTTTCGCTATTCATTTCTTGAAAATACGATTGCCCATTGAAAAAATAAAAATGATTTTTTAAACTATTATTTATCTATTATTTAAACTATTATTTAAACTATTATTTATATTTATAGATTAATAATTTAATCATTTATTTTCTGATCGAATTTATTTATATACGTGATATTTAGTATAAGATAATTATTATATATAATTGTTTATATTATTTGTTTAAAATAATTGACGATTATAAAGAGAAATTGAAAAAATTATTTATAAAATTATTATACTGTTTTTTGTATGATTGTATGATGAACTATTCTGCAAATTATTTCTTCTTTATTCCTATATTTATTTTAAATTAAAATATTTTTCAACAATTCTTAAATAGCAAATTTTTCACAATTATCTTTGGTCACTTAGTCAATGGATAAATTTTATCCATACTTTTTTATTATTTCTACGCGATATAAATTCTAAGAAATATTAAGTTTTTTTCTAAATCTCGTGTCTAATTCAAATCTTTATAATATCATGTGGAAATCCGTACATTGAGAATTCATTCGAAATATGTATTTCATAGTTTTTTTTTTTTTTTTTTTTCATTTCGAAATTCAATACTGTAATTTAATATTAAAAAATAAAAAAAGTTATTAAAATAATAAGAAAAAAACTTGAAAGAATATATACTAATTATTGGAAAATTATATATATCTATATATTATGTATAATAATTAGTAGTTATTAGTGGTAGAGCTGATAACTCGCTTGTTTGTTTCAAGTTACCTGCAGAAAATAAGAGATCTGAGAACGAATGAGAGAGGTGAAATCGAACAGTCATAAATATTTACAATCGAATGAGCAGTGACATTGTTTAATAAAAGCATGTACAATGTTTTCCTATTCTAATATTAGTGATTCTGATGTATATATATATACAGTTTTGAAATAAGTAACTCAGTTTGGATTAGACATTTGTTTATTATTTTTGAGGAATAACAAAAATTAAATAGAATATGTATATATACAATATTTTTATTTACAATTATTTATTTTTTTTTATCACTATATACATGTATAATTTACAATTCTTATATATTTATAAAATTATTTACATAATATTTATATAATTACACTTTACTTACTACACTTTACTTAATTATTTATATAATTACAATATTACTTACTTTTTCTATCATTATATACATCATATACATTTTTATATTACACTATATACAAATTATTTTACACTATATACAATTACATTCCTTCAGAAGTAAAGTTCTCTTTTATTTTCTTATGAAGTAATGAATTATTAAGATGAAAAAAAAAAAAGAAATATTAAACAAAATAGATTAATATTAATGAGATATGCTAGTAACATTGATCGTACAAAAAGCAAAAGTAATTTATGTATATCGTAATATGAAGAATGAAAATATTTACTTTGTATTGTACGATCCCATTTTGATGTTGAAAATCTCAGTAATGAATTTATTCTGCAAATAAAAAGCGAATTATTAATATATTACGTACATACGCGTAATTCAAATTTATATATAAACGTGATACAATTTTGTTTCAAAATAAGCAACTCGTTTGAAAACAGTTGCTTATTACGGATCAGGTGTACATATTTATATTTTATATATTTTAAATCTGTTAATTCCATCATTTTTTTTTTTTTTAATACTCTTTTCAAAAAATCTAACAACAATAAATTTGATGAATAATATAATTATATCAATATATATACTAATTTATTATATAAATAACAAAAATACAATAAGGTATAAAGATAATAAAAATCTCACTTTCTTATCTTTCAAGAATAATACCTTTATTTATAATATTTTATTTTCAAGAATTCTTCTTATAGTTTCACCCATTACTATTACAGTTTGATCATCATTGGCATACTTTTTTATAATTTGTTCCAACGTATTTAAATCTCCTTTCTTCTTTTCTACAAAGCTTAATTTTGAATTTTCAATTAACTGCTCTTCCGCCATTTCAAATCTCCTTTCTTTCTCGTGCATCCGCCCTTTCTTTAATTTTTTTTCGAATTCTATATTTTCTTCATCTGTTCTTCTTTGCTCTTCTTCGATACGTTTTTTTTTATCCTCTTTTACGTTACAGTTTATCGTCAAATTATTTACGAATTTTTTTGCAGCTTTGTCCTCATTAGCTTTTTGCCTATAAGAACGTTTTTTAAAAATCCGTAGGCAACCTCTGCTACCAAAGAAGTATCCGTATCCGCCACAAATCTTCATCACTTTTTCTTGTTGCAATGAATTGGTCAATGGATTCCCCACTGCTTGTTGTTGCAAAAACAACGTGTATAAGCAATTTTCCACGTCATCGTTCAGAAATCCTTTACGATTTTTATATTGCATCATGTGCTCCCCTCTATTCCCAAAATTTGATAAAAGATTGTATTCTCTATGCGCCATATCTTGCGAAATCCCGTATTCGTGGCTCATTTTCATAGATGCATTCGTTTCAATCGTCATCTTATGTTGTATTGAGAGAAACACTTTTTTCTTGTTTTGGTTTTTCATCATGATTACAGAAAACATTGCACAGTCACACTTCTTTAAAAAAAAAGCTTTAAAACTAGTCGAGATTTCGCACCGTTTTGCTCGATCGCTGGTTGCCCAAAGACTGGCTAAAATTCAGAATTGTACGAATATTTATACTGATCCAGGTAAAAATATTTCGGTACTTTGAACAATGGCGTCAAGGGACAATTTCTGAAAATTCTTAATCCTTAATCTCTACTGATTCAGGTAAAAACATTTCAATACTTTGGAGAATGACGTCGAGGGATTTTTACGAAAATCCTTAATCTATTAAGATCTTTATCTTAAGCTATTAAATGCAATATTAATGTTGGATATTTAAGTATACAAAAAGTTTGGTTAAATTTGACTTAATAAATATAACTTAATACAGGATGAACGATTTTTTATAAATATTTTGTTTATTTTCAATAATGTTAAATAAAAAATATTTTAGATAAAAAAGGATATATTTTAATATTGTTAAAAATTGTTTTAAAAATTTTCTAATAAGTCGTATAATCAGAATCAATAATTCTGTTTCATGAAATTTTATGAATATGTAGATCATAGTAAGTTATATGTTAAATAATTTTTTTATGAAATATTAATGGAATATTTACTTCCAATCTTTAGTATTATTTTCATTTTTTAAATATAACTTCTTAATCATAAAAGATAGAGAAAAATATTAAAATTTTAATATTCTATAAAATATACTATAAAATATTCAAATTTTAATATTCTATTATCCTATTATAAAAAATATTTCTAATTGAAATTATATACGAAATGTGAAAAGATAAAAATTTTAAAATTGATTTTAATATATTCAAGATTTTTTTGAAAAAATAAGTTGCTCTATGCAAAAATTTTCATTAAAATCAGATTTTTCAAAATGCGTAGATTTTCTTATATGAAAACTTTTGCTATATAATTAAAACTATATATTTTTTACAAAATAATATTAATAATATTAAAATTCTCTATAATAATAATAATATTTTGAAATAAGGAAATTTTAAAATAAGGAAATTTCACCATTTCTTTGTTTGAAATTGTAAAGTAAGAAATCCAGAAATGAATAAGAAATCCAAAAGAGAAAATAAATTTTTCTACCTGTTCAAAATTTTTGCTGACTTTGAAAGTGACATGTCATTCTATTCTTTTCTAAAGAATAATATTGTTTTGTAGTCGACTATTTTATGATTTATTTCTTTCCATTCTTCCCATTTAAGAATAAAGAACAATATTGCCTTTCAAATTCTGAGCTTTTTCAAATTTAAGGCTTGATTGACTTGTTATTAACTTAATCAATAATGTTAAAAAATATTGTTATCTTTTTCTGTTAAATATAAGAAACAGTTAAGATCATCATCTTTAATATTCAAAACAATCGAAATCTATAATAAATCGCTTATTTCTTATTGATATCCATATTTAATTTATATACACGATATAGAATTTTTTTTTAGGTATATATTTACAAATTTCTTATATCTTTAATAACTTGCCATTCACATGTCTAAACTCTATCAAACTTAATCATTAGATTTTTGAAAAAATAGATACAAATAATATTTACACTTAAATTCACAATTTTTAGAAAATCGAATTCATTAGTTTAACTTCTGAATAATTTATACGAAATACATAATATTCATGAGACATCTCGATGGAACGATTCTAAAAATCAAAATAAATACAAAAGTTGGTATACAAATATGTCAATTAAGTTATGAGCAATTGAAATTCATATAAAACAAAGAATAAGTCTATCTCCGTCACAATGCTTCTCTTACAATGCTCTCTCTTTATCTTTGTCTCTTTGTCTCTCGTATTAAAATTAAATAATTGCTTACAACTTAAAAGATAAGTCTTAACTGAAATTTTTACCCATCTTCATAATCTGATCTTCTAAAAGATTATTATCCCTAGCATAATACTTTAAATGATCCTATATAATATTTCTAAATATAATAATAATAATATTTCACCGTTACTCGAAACTAAAAATTACTGTCATAAAACTTTCCCGTAAAACCGAGCAAAAAAAAAAAAAAAAAAAGAAAAAAGAAAAAAGAAAAGAAAAGAAAGAAAAACAACAAGTAACAAAACTAAAAGAAAGAGGGGGGAAAAAATAAAGAAAAAGGAAGAGGGCTAACAAAAAAGGGGATGAAAATAACTGAAGTGTCGTCTCCCTCTCCTGTTACTTTGTCGTCACCCTTCGCCGAGAGAAGGGCGATGACAACCGGTTGTCATCTCTTCAACGTTCGCCCTCTCTTCCGCCGAGTTTTATTCATAGCACGCCGCGTTGCTAATAAAAAAGTGCGCATAGGGACATTAAAGTCTCGACGGGGCCAGGTTGGCTGGCCTGGTTCGTGGTTTCGGTGTTAGCTCGCGGAAGCTCGCCTCCGTGGGCGTCCTTGCGATATACTTTGCGCAAGCCAACGTTAACAAGGTATGCATTGTATCGCCAAAGCGTAGCAAGGATATTTACTTGTGTACACACGCACGTGACCCGTAGCCGGCTCTCGTAAAAAGGGTCGGCTCGTACATATTTATTCCTTTTTTCTCTCCACCCGCTTAGTTACCTTGAGCTTCGTGCCTCCTCCTCAGTCATCTTCCAACGACGTTTGGGCCTTGGCCGAAGTATCATACACCGTTATACGGGACGAAAGTGGCGGTATTATGTGCCGACTAACTCGAATCGAGTGCGGTTTACGATCGGTTTATTCGTCTACCGCTCGTGAGCAGCAGTTTCAACGAGGTCGAGGGACAATGTGTTTCGCTTGGAAATTCTTACACCCTGTTGAAAACTGTCGTTTCATAGGTGGTGAAAAGTCGTGGATCTGAATAATTGCATTCGCTTTGATCGTTTAGATTATTAAGAAGTCGTTTTCTTTTTTTTTTTTTTTTTTTTNNTTTTTTTTTTTTTTTTTTTTTTAATATTGGATGCCTTTTAATTTTATTAGAAAAGGATTAAGGATATACACTTTTAATTTATTCGAAGGTAGATATTATAATTTATGCGAAAAATTAGACACACGATGTGCAAGTTTGAATGAAGAAACATGAGATATTTGTTAATTGCAATATATGGGTTATGATAATATACACGATTATAAAGAAAAAGCAAAGATAAAAAGAGTAAATTAATTGTTGGTATATATCTTATTTGTAATTCAACAGTAATTATTTTATTCGCAATAGAGAATTTAAATAACAAAAGCAAAATATTTTAAGATTTTCCTTTTAGAAAATATTTTTTGTAGAAATTATTAGATTCAATTTTACTTTTATTAACAAAAATTTTTTCCATTTCTTTTCATTTGCTTTAAAGCTTCTGAATTTATTATTCTATTTATTAAATTAAATAATTGGAGAGTATGAAGAAAGCCATTCGACATATTTTCGTCAGAAACATTTTCTTCTCGATAAATATCATTTATTTGCTATAACAATGACATGAATTAAAATTTGTTTTTTAATTATTATCGAATAATATACATAAAAAAAATTTATACATTGTCTATATTATATCGTACGACATATCGATTTATCGAAAAACATATTAATAAAAGAAAAAGAAAAATTGAAGATATAAGTAACCATAAAAAATTATACTTTTCACGATACGGTTAGCTCATTGATTTTAGATTTAAGAAAAAATTAATTAAATTTAATTAACCATGGCCACGAATTTATCGCGATTTATAAAAGTTGGCGAGTAGTTTTAATAAGAGGGCGAATATTAATTTAAAGGACGAGCAACGCGCATCGAACAGACTGCTTACATGGACATAGGAAGACGAAGAAGGACGAGACCAGGATATGCAGATGAAAGAAAACTCGTTACAGAATGACAAGTGCCCGTTGCGTCCTCATAATTATCACATCCGACGTAATTACAGAGAGAACGTGCCTTATCCTAACTCCGAGACCATAAACGACTCCCAACGTGTACTCGTCTTCTTTTGTGCGAGAACTCTGGTTTAAATATCGGGTAGCCGTCGAAAGAACCGTCTCAAGGATAGTTAAGCCCACGAAATTTCGTAAACGACCATCTAAGGTTTTACACGAAAAAGATTCGTTTTTGTGGTTGAGAAAATGCTTTAATAAAATTTGGACCGATTGGTTAATGATAACATTGTCTAATTTGTTTATAATTTAATTAATTTAACAATCTATAATTTTTTCTATGTTTATAAATTATCGATAATTCATTTATATTTGAAAATTATATTATATTTTTATATATTCATTTATATTTTTAAAAGTTAGGTTATGTAAACTTATATGGAAAATAATTTTTTTTCTTTCTTTCGGTGAAGAAATGCTTTTATAAAATTTTAATTAATCAACGAGTATCGCTAATGATATAATGTAGTAAATCATTTGTGTTTGAGATTTCGAATGTTAAATTATGTAATTTTATACAAAAATAATTTGTTTTTGTATTTTGATATTAGTGAAGAACTTTGTTAAAATTTTAATAGGTTAATTGATGATATAATATAACTCATTTGTATTTAAATTTTTGAAAATTGAGTTATGTGATTTTGTTTAATATTTACCAATTTTTTTTAAAATAATTACTTATAATAAAATTCACTAATGAATTTCATTGCATTCTTTTTTTTTTAAAGTTGTTACAAATATTAAATATTCTCTCTAACGTTTCAAAGCAAAAATTCTTCTTCAGATCATCTTAAAAATCTCTTATCAACATTATTCGAGCAAAATCCGTTTCATCTCGATATTTGTAAGAATCGATACCAGGATCAATGATTAGAACACGGCACGCTTACTGTCGTCCATAGCGCTCACTTTTCCATTGTTACGGACCGGTTCGCAGCACGTGGTTCGACGATCTCTTTGAAATCGAATTAGTTCCGATCCGAGCGGACAGATACACCTCGGCCGATATCGTCGGTCTCTGTATAACCGCCTGTGATATAATGCTATGCCGAATCGCTTCGTCATTCGACGGTTATAATGCCGCGTTATTAGGCTCG